ATATCAATATTATCAAATTAAGCCTAATTCAACCGTAACACTAGTCTAAATAAAAATTACTCTACATAATTGACAAAAAGGATTGCATCTAAAGTTATGGTATGTTTTATTTTATACTATTTCACTACTGATAAAAAAAAAAGTGATTGCATATGGATGGATTTGACAAAAGTGCAAGTAATTAATAATAATAGGAGATTAATCCGTCCAAGTAATTGTAATCAATTTTGGCTGGCTTTCAAGTTTCTACTCACCACATCATGTAACCTCTTTAAAAAGGCTATATTTCATTTTTGGTCCTCAATTTTAATTTTTGCATAATTTTCATCCTTTAATTTTTTTATATTTTTTTAGTCTATTAACTATAAAAAATGTATTTTTTAAATTCTTTTACCAGTTAATCTGTTAAGTTTATCTATATATACACATTTAATATTTTAAAAAAAAGAGAGAAAAAAATTATGACTATTTTATAAATTGATCATTTTAAACTTATTTTCAATTTATAAAAATATATGGTTTTAAACATTAGTTTTTCTTCTCATTATTTTTAAATTTGATATTTAATTTATAAAAATATATATTTATAGCGATAAATTCAAAACGGTATGCGAAAAATTTTGGTATCTGATACGTATCAATTTTATCGTTTTAATAACAAAATCGATACATATATCGATACGGTATTGATAACTTTGGTGCTATGTGCACCTGGATGGGCTTGAGGGCAGGGCAGAAGCAATTATTACCTCAGTGATTGCTCTATAAATTTTTTAAAAAAAAATTAAATATTGAGTGCAATTAACATTTTCCTGTATACAGAAATTTAATAGATAGAGATCAGTTGAAAACAGTGAATTTGTGGATGCATGCCTCCAGTTGAGTTGGAAGGTGGCTGAGGCATATTCACAGTTGCCCCTCCATCTACACAATTAATCTGCCCAGTGAGATAGGAGGCTACGGGCATGCATAAAAATGCCACCACTGACGACACCTCCTCTGCTTCTTCTATGCGTCTTAGTGGAGTTTGAGCGCAAACAAACTTCACAATATGCTAATTCAGAACCTGCAACATGTACGAGGAAAATTCAAAAACCAAGTCAGCTTAATTGCATCATCTGTTTGAAGAAATCACAAAAATGAAAATGTGCATAACTTAGAAAGAAAGGTTCTCACAGGCTCCACCATGGGGGTTCTGGTGATGGCAGGTGTCACACAATTAGTCCTTTATTTCGTCTTTTGCCCACTCACTGGCTAAGTTCTTAGTCAGCTGGTTCAAACCCGCTGTAGAAATTAAAATGGCAAATAATTAATCAAATGCTGCAAATACATGTATAATTAATTGACACGAAATCAAAATTAGCTTGATAGATTTCACCTTTTGTTGCAGAATATAAGGATCCGCCCGTCATATAGTATGTAACACCAGTAACACAAGATGTGAAAACAATGTTCCCTGCACCAGAAGCTTTCGAAAAAGGATGTGAGAGTTGACAGGGGAAATAGGCTGATTCAAAATTGGAACTCATATGAACTGAGCAATCTTGAGCTGTGTATTCTTCAGTCGGTTTTCAGATGTGCGTCGCAACACATTGCAACATTGTTTATATCTGGACCCAGATAGAATATGTAATATATAAATTAGTGTGAAAATTCAACACGTAGATTTCAACAAAAGTATAGGTGGAATAACTTGTATTTAGCTCATATGCTTCTTTGTTATTTTATAGATATAGGATTGTCCCACTTAACAATTAACACTCCAGTTGAGTTAACAAATGAATCAAGTCAAGTCAGAATTTACAAGTATGTTGAGCTTTCCATTGAAAGGAGAGGCGACTTCTTCGGCTAGCTTTTCTCGTTCAGCTCAGGATGATACATCATAGACTGAACCAGTGACTTGAAATCCCTTCTTCTGCATTTAGCTAAGCAGTCATTAAGCTCGGTTTGGTTTCAAGAACAGGTATGCACTCTGGACGCTGCTAAATCCTCCACAATAGCATACCTAATGATAGATATTCACAATATATATTTAGTAGTTGATTAGGTGGAAAATGAATGCAGATAGACTGGGGTGGGGGTAGATATATAGAAGAACGGACCCTATTCCTTTTGTTCCATCAGTGACTAAAGCGGTCGGATTTTGTACTCTGTCTAATTAGCCATCCTCTCTCTGTTTTCTAAGTTCCTGCATATTTAATGTTTGTATCCCAAAGTAAGACAATGGATACCACACAAATATAAATATTATGAAGCTAAAAACTGAGGAACAATGGGGGGTGAATTCAAGATAATGCAATTTCAATATGATGCCCCATAAACGTTGGGCTAAGGCATTGACCAGTTCAACAATACTTGGTGTATTTTAAAGCTTGGAATGAGGCATGAAGAGTTTAGTTAATTTGTAATTGGTAAACAGTACAATATTTTTAGTGAAAATGAATTGGAGCTCCTCTGGTTCTGGGAGCAACCAGAACAGTGACAAAGACCAGATCATGTTCCTCCGGTCTCATGAGAGGACAAGATCAAATGTGACAGCAGTCGAATCCTTATCCAAGGGCATTGTCTGAAGCAATTGAGTATCATGACATCTTATTAATTATTGACTTTTATTTCACATTGAATCAATTTAGCCTTTTATTCCGCAATACAATGTCATGGGAAATTTGCTAATGTTTTCAATTGGGTTGGAAGAAGAAGCCGTTGACAGTTGCCCCTCCATCGACGCAAATAGTCTGCCCTGTGATATAAGAGGCTGCAGGCATGCACAAAAATGCCACCATGGAGGACACCTCCTCAGGCTCGGCTGCGCGTGCTTGAGGAATGCTAGCGAAAAATGCTTTCATAAGATTCTCATTTTCCATATACTAAGAGAGAAGGAAGATCAGAAAACTTTTGTTAGTTCAATCAGTGCTCAAGTTTTCAAATCAATTGTCTAGTATGTATAAGAAGGAGACTCACAGGCTCAACCAAGGGGGTTCTGGTGAGGCCAGGGGCCACACAATTAGTTCTTATACCGTCTTTAGCCCACTCACAAGCCAAATTCTTAGCCAGTTGGTTCAATGCCGCTGCAAAGAACATAAGAAAACGTCATTGCTCTGCAAATGTATGAAGTCCCACTCATTAAAGAAATCATTACCTTTAGCTGTAGAATATAAGGATCCAGCACTGTAGAATGCGACACCAGCAATTGATGATATGAAGACAACACTCGCTGCTCCTGAAGCTTTCAAAAGGGGATGTGATAGTTGGCAGAGGTGATGAGCTGATTCGAAATTCGTACTCATCAGAAAAGAGTAATCTTCAGCCGTGTATTCTACAGTTGATTTCCAGTAGTCTTTTCCAACGTTGTTTATCTGGGCCCAGAAAATTCAATATTGTAAGTTGCAAGATTCCATGTGCATGCATTCTCGAATATTGAAATATGTTTCATGTTGGTAATTCTGTCATGTACAGGGAACTCACAAGTATGTCGAGTTTTCCATTGAAAAGTGAAGAGAATGTTTCGACCAGCTTTTCACGTTCAGCTTGAGAAGATACGTCACAGACTGAACCAGTGACTTGAAATCCCTTCTTCTGCCATTCAGCTAAGCAGTCTTTAAGTTCAGTTTGGTTTCGAGAGCAGGTATGCACTGTAGCCCCAAATGCTGCCAGTTCCTCCACAATAGCATACCTGATGAATGGTGATTACAGTTATGCAGTGTTTGATCGAATGCAACTGTGTAACAGAATCGATATGTGGATTGCAGAATGCAGAATGAAAATTGAAAAGGGGAAAAAGATGAAGGGATAGAGAAAAATAACCCGATTCCTTTTGTTCCACCAGTGACTAAAGCTGTTTTGTTTTGGAGAGTCCACCTACTGCTCTTCCCTCTGCTACTTTTCTCGGCCATTCTCTCTGCCAAAAAAAAAAAAAAGATATATACCTTAGAATTTTATTGCAATGCTCTCTACCTGAAGTGCCTCCTCTATCATATTTATAGAGAGTAACTGTGACCTAGAGTTGTTTATAGCTGTCTGGCGTCTAGGGTTCCTAGATGGCATGGGAGTTTAGCTCTCTGTCTCTCCTGTGTCTTTCAGAGAGAGATTGGAAGCTGAGAAACAAGGGTTTGTGGAGGTTCGAACGGTGGAGGCTTGGTATATAATTTCGTTGACGGTTGGGTTGCTGGGGTTGCTTGGGTTTGTGTGGGTGGAGGTAGGTAGAGGCGCTGGTGTTCTACAAGTTGGTGGATTGCAAATCTTGTGCGAGAACTTTGGTTGGGGTTTGCGGCAGGTTGTTGCTTGTGTGGCTGTTGCCGATAGGCTACAAGGGTGGATTTGCGTTTGGCTGTGTTAGAAACTGAGAAGAAGGAGAAATATCTGAAGAAAGATTTATTACTTTCTTGAATACTGTTGTATGTATAATGACCTATATATAAGTGTTTATAAAAAGAATATTTTAAGGTATATAGTATATAAACAGAATATTCTAAGGTATAAAGTATATAAACAGAATATTCTAAGGTATAAAATATTTACAATGAACGTGTTCACATCTTAACATCTTCCTCAAACTCAAGTTGGTTTCACCTCAAACTCAAGGTGGTTTCGATGAAATCAACTTCAGTTTGGAAAGAGAAGTACAAAGCGTCCAGTAAAATGAGCCTTGGTGAAAAGGTCTGTCGGTTTATCAGCGGAGCCAATGAAAACCAAATGAATAGTTCCTTGTGCAACATGATGGCCAATAAAGTGACAATCAAACTCAATGTGTTTAGTGAGTTCATGGAAGACATCATTATGAGCAATCTGCATGGCACTTTGATTGTCAAAATAAGATTAGTAGCAGGCGGTTGAGGAACACCCATATCTTCTAGTGACCAATGTAAGTTAAGTAACTCTGATGTGGTGTCTCCAAGTGCTCGATATTTGGCCTCTGTGCTAGAATGTGATGGAACTGTCTGTTTCTTGCTATGCCAAGAGATTAAGGAATCACCAAGAAAAAGACAATAACCAGTAGTTGATTTACAATCATCAAAGTCTCTAGTCTAATCAGCATCAGAGTAACCATGAAGTTCAAGAGATGAATGAGCAGAAAAGTGAAGTCCATGAAAAATGGTACCTTTAATATAGTGAATAATGCGAAGTATTGCTGCATAGTGAGTGGAGCAAGGTGTAGCTATAAACTGGTTAACAACATGAACTGCATAAGCTATGTCTGGTTGTGTTGTAGTGAGATAAATTAAACTTCCAACTAATTGTCTGTAGCAAGTAGGATCAACTAATGGAGAACCATCTATAGATGTAAGTCGAACATTTGACTCAAAAGGAGTAGATGCAGTCTTACTGTCAGTGAGTCTAACTTTAGATATAAGATCATAGGCATATTTTGTTTGAGAGATAAGATAACCATCATCAGAAGAAGTGACCTCAAGTCCCAAGAAATGACTCAAAACACCAAGATCTTTCATCTCAAACTTATGACTGAGAAATTGCTTAAGATCATGAATACTTGAAATATCATCCCCAATAATGATCATATCATCTACATAAAGAAGTCGTAGAACCATACCATGATGAGTCTTGTGTATGAACAACACAATATCATGAGGACTAAAAGTAAAACCAAATTCACTTATGGTGGTGCTAAACTTGGCAAACCAAGCTCGAGGTACTTGTTTAAAACCATATAGAGCTCACTTCAATTGATAAACTTTGTTTGGAGGATGCTCAAGTCCAAGAGGTGGTTGCATGTAAACTTCCTCTGCAAGATCACCATTTAGGAAGGCATTTTTCACGTCCATTTGAAACAATTTCCATCTTTTTGCAGCAACAATAGCAATCAAACTACGAACTGAAGTAGGATGAGCAACAGGTGCAAAGGTTTCCTCATAATCAATCCCATATTCCTAAGTAAATCCTTTAGCAACCAAACGAGCCTTGTAACGCTTCACAAAACCATCAGACCGAGTTTTGATCTTGTACACCCATTTGCAACCTACCAAAGGCTTTCCAACAGGAAGATCAACTAAATCCCATGTACAATTTTCTCAAGAGCTTGTAATTCATCTTGCATAGCTTGTTGCTAGAGAAGGTTAGAAGAGGCCTCTTGATAGAATTGAGGCTCATGTAAGGAGGTAATAGCAGCAAAACAATGATAGTCATGAAGATAGTTAGGAGGATTTCTTACCCGAGTAGGACGACTTGAAGGTGGATAAAGGATCTCATTTTCAGGCTCAACAAGGTCAGATCCAATATGTGATATAGAAGAGGGAAGGGAAGAAGACTCACCATTGTCTAATGCCTTACCAACAGACAGAGCATCTTCTATAAAACTACGTGGAGCATGTGGAGAGGCATCATGGAGCTCATCAAATGTATCTGCATCAGAGTCATTAGGAAATAGCTCAATAGAAGAGTTAGTAAAAAGTGGAGGTTGATCAGAAGATGACACCTGGAAGTTTGATAATGAGGAAAACATAGTGTGTCCCCAAAAGACAACATGACGTGAGACTCAAAGTTTTTGTGACACAGGATCCCAACAATGATATCCTTTATGTGTAATCCCATAACCCAAAAAACAACATAATCGAGCTTTAGGCTCTAGCTTGTTATGTTCATGAGGTGGAAGAAGAACAAAACAAGCACAACCAAAAACCTTACAAAGATCATAAGCAGGAGGAATACCATGTAAACATTCATATGGAGACTTATTATTGATGACTAATGATGGAATCCGATTAATGAGATAAATCGCTGTAAGAGTAGCTTCACCCCAAAATTGCTCTAGACAAGAAGACGAAATGAGTAGAGCACGAACATAATCAAGGATGTGTTGTGTTTACGTTCGGCTTGCTCGTTCTGTTCAGAAGTGTAAGGACAAGATTGTTATATCAATGTACCATGTTTTTTCAGAAAGGATTGAAGTTTAGTACTAAGATATTCAGTGGCATTGTCAGTCCTCAAAACTTTGATAATTTTAGAGAACTGGGTTTTGACCATGGTAGCAAAATTAATATAAATTTGTAGTAACTCAGAGCGATTTTTCATAAGATATATCTAGGTAAAACGAGTATGATTATCAATAAATAACACAAGTACCTAGAACCCCCCATGGTAGGTGTCGAAGATGGACCCCAAACATTAGAATGTACGAGATCAAAAGAAGCAACCGAAAGAGAAGGATTACTAGAAAAAGATAGAGTTGGTTGTTTTGCAGATTAACATGACACACAATGTAAGGATTCATTCGGAATAGATGCTAATAGACCACGAGAGATAAGAGAACGAAGTTTATCGATTGAAGTGTGTCTGAGTCGTGAGTGCCATAAATGAAGAGGAGAAATGTTAGTAGCAGCATAGGCTTGGAAGATTTGTTGATATGGAATTTGCAAATACTCTAATTCAACAGCACAAAGTAGGGTTTGGATGAATCGGTTGTTTGGAAATGATAGTGTATCCATTTAATGATGAGGAATGTGCAGATAATTGAGCTCAAACAGACACCCGACCTTGTGACTAGTTCCAAGAAGTTATCCTGTTTGTGGGTCCTGCACACAACAACCATGAGTAAAAAATGTTACTTCAAGACCAAGATCACACAATTGACCAATAGATAAAAGATTATAACTAAGTTTTGGAACCAAGAAAGTGTTTGGTAAAATCAATGAATTTGTAGAAATATTGCCAATGTGACTAATATTCATAGGAGAGCCATCAGCAGAATAAATGTCAGGAAAGAAATTATTTGGTGACATTGAAGGGAAATGAGTAGTAGTTGAAGACATGCGATTACAACAACCGGAATCAAAAGACCAAGATTTAATACCTGGAGCAGTACATAAGGCAGTAAGAGCATTAAGAAGATTTAATATCACATGTTTTATAGATTCAGGGTTAACAATAGGTTGGTCTATCACCTCTTTGGCAACCATTGTAGCAGCATGATGAGTCACAGTTCTTTCAAAACTCGTCGTAGAATCAATAGAACTCACAATACTGGAAAAATCTCTCAGAAAGTGCCTGAGAATAAATAATCCAATTTGTAGGAGAAGAGAACCCAACAACAAAGTTTCAAATCCAAAATAGTTAATTGACAGTCAGTTAATATAATTAACAGTCAGCTAATACAATTAACAATCAACTAACAAAACTAACAAAATATTATAAAGTGAGAGTTATTTCCTTCAATTTTAATAGGTGAGAAGCTAAAAGTATCATAACATAAGGTAAGAGATTAAAACTTACAAATCTAATTAGGTGATGGATTAAAAGTGTTATAATATAAGGTGAGAGACTAAAACCTTCAAATTTGACGAGGGATAAAACCTTAATAAGGTGAAGGGCTCAAAGTAGGCTATTGCCTACTCACAGTTGCCCCTTCATCCACACAATTAATCTGCCCGGTGGCAAACGAGGCTAAGGGCATGCATTAAAATGCCACAACTGACGATACCTCCTCTGCTTCTCCTATGCGTCTTAGTAGAGTTTGAGCGCAAGCAGACTTCAAAACACGCTGATTCAGAAACTGCAACATGTACAAGGAAAATTCAAAACCTAAGTGAGCTTAATTGCAGAACAATACTATTACGCTCGAAGCCCGTCGTGCCGACAGACGGCCAAGCGACTGTGGCAATGGTACGTCCGATTGATTCCTGGTTTTAAGAAAGGGCGTAACTAATTCAAAAGTCCTCAAGTTTATAGAACTATAACTTTTAAGTCCTTACATTTAAGAGACATCATTTAAGTACTTAAAATCAAATAAGATTATTTTAATTTAGGGCATTAGGGTTTAGTAATTGTAATGTTAGGGATCAGATTATATTTTGGGGTTCAAGGTTTAAGGTGTTAGAAATTTAAATTATTTAGGGTTTAAATTTTTTAAAATTCAATGTTTAGGATGTTAGTTAAGATTTAGATTTTTTAGGGTTTAATATTTAAGTGGTTAGGGTTTATAATATATTTAGATTGAGGAAAATGAAAAGGAGGGGAGGGGAGGAGAGGGAAAGCAAATATTTTTTAACCAATCAAATTATTATAATGTTTTTTTTACTAATCAAATTATAACATTAATTAAAAATGTTATAATTTGATTGGTCAAAAAACTTTCCCTTTCCCTTTAACCCAAATATATGGTTAGATTTTTTTTGGATTAAATGTTTAGGGAAGTTGGGTTTAAAATTTTTTATGAGTTTTATATTTTATTATATTAAAATTTAGATTTTTTTATCACTAAAAAACAATTTTTAATTGACAAGAAATTTTCTCAATTATACAAGAAACTCTATCAATTATACCTATAATCGACAGAAAAAATTATCGAATAAATGTGTGTCAAAAATAAGTATAATCGTCGACATGACTGTTGATTGTGTTGGTATCTTATTTTTAAAAAAATTAAAAAAAATAATTATATATTTATTAATTAAATTATAAAAATTAACCAAAATATATGCAAAATAATCGTGTGCTGCAATAATATATACGTATATATATATATAGATAATTCTACAAAAACTAATTGAAAAACTAGAATATTATGAAAACAATGAAAAAAAAAAAAGGAAATTGAAAGCATCAATCAAAAGTAGTATTAGAAGTTGCCTCATAATATGATTTCAACCTTAATAACCTGCAAAAAAAAAATGTTATTAGATCAAATAAAAATAATTGGATAATATAGAAACTAAAAAAAAAAAAAAAACCCAAGGCTTAGAAAGGTAGAAGTAATTAAAGGGAAAAAGTGAAGTAAAGTAAAAACAATAAAAGAAGAAGAAGAGAGGTAGAGGCGCTGATGTTCTGCAAGTTGGTGGGTTGCAAATCTCGTGCGAGAACTTTGGTTGGGGTTTGAGGCGGGGTGATGCTTGTGTGACTCCCGCGGATTGGCTGCAAGGGTGGCTTTTCGATCGTGTTGGCTGCTACTTCTGGCGGGGCTGCTGTTGCTTGGTTGACGGGGTTGTGGCTGGGTGGTGTATCGAGATGGTTATGGAGTCAAGGTTAATTTGGAGTTGTGGTGTGGGAAGCCTTAGCTGATTGGATTCCACTTTCTATGGTGTGTGATGAAGCCCTTGCAGTTCCTATCAGAGATGTTGGTTGATAATTAGGATCGGACTGACCGCGGAAAAAGGTGTGCATGATATGTTTGGTTTTTAGATGATGGATGGTGGGGCTAATGGTTTTCCCTCTGATAGAGGATAGAGGATAGCCAAAACCGGACCTCCATCTTGAATGATGCTGCTCTATCATGGGAATGGGTGTGTTATGACAATGTAATTAACGCCCCAAAAGATGGGAGAGTAGCAAGTTATATATATATATATATATATATATATTGTTCTACCTTTTTTTTTCTATTTTTTTAATCACTTTTTGGCTTTAGTGAATTGAAAACCTTTCATAACGAGCACATATGTATTCTAAGCTCCAAGTGATGACTTGTCACCTAGCAAAATATGATTTTGGGATATGTTAATTGGATTAGTTAGCGAGCCCTAAATCAAAATCGTCTTTTGCATATGTTTGAAAACAAATCAATTACACCAAACTAAAGAATTTTCCAGAGATTATTGAAAATTATTAGAGTTACAGTCCAAATATTAAAAGCCTTGAGCAAATTCAAAGTCCTTTTACTCATTGTGCATCCCTTCAACAGTAATTACACGATATTCGCACAAAAATAGCCTACAAAGAAAGACTAGAGATGTCTAGTTTAGGTTGTGGAAGAAATAATCTCACTCACTCATCATCAACATAAATGGTTTCTTGCTGAAAAAGGCCACCGAACAACTTCCTCACTTCCGTTTTAGGCTGCTGTTCTGTGGGCTGTTTCGCCACTGGCTTTGGCGCTGACGGTGGTGACTTCGGCTTCAAAACAGGGGGTCTTGGTTTAGGAGCAGGTGGCTTGACAACAGCCTTCTGAGGAGGAAGTGACCTAGCCTTAGCCTGTCCCCTGACAGTGGCAATCTGCACTTTGGCTATGTCAGCAGGGTTTTGAACGGTGGTTGCTATCTGGGAACTGAATTTTTCCCAGGAAAGGCCCGACCGAATGTCCTTCGCTTTACTGAACAGGGCGTCGATTGAAGCTCCAGCCGCCTCCGCCTTCTGCCGGGCCTCCTCAGCTAGACTAGCAGCCTTTGCTTCCTGCTCTGAGAGCTTCTCCACTTCTTCTCCCAGCTTCTTAGCTACCTCTGCCGCCTCTCGAGCTTTTTCGGCAGCAATTCTTGCCTCCTCCTCTGCTTTTTCCTTCGCTAAAGCCTCCGCATAGGCCTTTCTTCTTCCATCCTCAGGAATTGCACTGAAAGCAATCAAAAGAAACAAATTTTAATAAGGCAACATCATCTCCATCAAGAGCAATCAAATCTTCTGCGAAATGTCTACCCGAAGAGTTCATCCACACGCTTCAATGGAGCCGATGGATCCGTAAAAACTTGCACAACCTAATGCATGTTCGAATTAGACATCAAACCCATATCATCACATCAATGATAAATCAAATGAATTTCGTTAAAGTCGGAAAATTTACCTTGTTTTCTGCGACAGCCGTGTTCGAGAAAACATCTGCGACGAGCGAAGCTATCCTCGACTTTGCTACCTGAAAACAATTTTCATGAACTTTTGAAAGGGAAAGCCAAATCACATACGAGAAGTGAACAAAAATTAAGACTGAAAAAGTTTACATCTTTGCGTACATTACTTTATAGTCGTTTGTGGCAACGGTTCCCTCGGCGGAGACCACGACGTTGTATGAGCTCTCCGGTAAGAAATCCTCCGTCAGGCTCGTCTTAATGAACGTGTAGCTTACGTCCGTTTCAATTACTTTCTGTAAGAACTCGGGAACCGTCAACGGCTGAGATTGCGAGAAGAGGTTGCTGAAGAACGATGTGATGCCGTCAAGCACATTGTAAGTGGATGCAGTTGCAGTGTTCCCATCATAGATTATTGCGACGTGGCCTACCCCCGCTAGTTGGGCGGCTTGGATGACTTGTAAGGCGTCCAACGTGGAGACCTCGGTGGTGGGACCATTTTCCCCTGGGCCGATCGTCACCACCACCTTGCTGGCGTTGCCGATTGCCTTGGCGATTGATTCTGGATCGTCAAAGGTGGATTCCACCGCATTTAACCGCCTGGATTCTTCATTCGATATGATCTGCGATGAGAATTAAGGCCTTTACAGCAAATAATAATAATAGTGATTTCATACCATCCATTTCCACTGTCCTCAATACACAAAAGGTGTCTTATTAGCAAGAATTTTGAAACTCTAAATTTAAGATTTTATATTCGAATTTTAATACAAGTAGTAGGGAAAGCTATATATCTTGGTTGACTAGTTCCTATAAATAAATGCACTAAAGGTTTATAATACTTAATTGATGATATTGAGATCGCTAACCTTATAATTAACCGCGAGACGGGCTAGTTCCTGGGCAGCATTGAGCTCAGGGACGCCAGCTCTAACCTTGAAACCTTGGCGCAACAGTGACTGTGCAATGTAGATGCCTGCCTGCCCAGTTGCACCAGCAACAAACACTGTTGCTGGATCTTTCCGTCTGGGATTCCCAAAAGATAAACCCGTGGAAGGGTTGCTTACAACTGGGATCAAGGATTTGACACCAGGTGCCTTACCGAAATTGAATCGAAAGGAAGTAGAATTTCCTGAATCTTCATTCTGGCTTTCATCTGGATTGTCCTTTGGCTTGCCAAGCTGAAATGGAGAGAAAGAACGGGATCCTTTGGCAAAGACTGTCAGTCTGGGATTCTTGAGAGTTAGCCTTGAATGAGGAGTGGTTAAGTGAAATGAATTGGAGGTGAGAGCCGGAGCCATGGATTATGTCAAATGGTGGCTATCTCTCCTTCAATTCATGGAGCTTCTGCGTATAACATCACAGAAAGAGAGAAACAGACCATCTCTGGGGGCTGCAATTGAATTGCTTCTATCTGGATGAGAAGGCAATGAGAGGCGACCAAATGGTATAGAGCCACGTGGTCAACATTTTATCCACAAAGGAAAATTGGACACCAGACATTTCTAGTAGAAGATCATGCGTATTATGTATGTTAAAACAATTATTGGATAATGACGGAGATCCATTATTACCACAAAGAAGTAAGACAGGCATGGACTACGAAAGTTAAGATTAGCCAATGGCAATATTGAATTGATTGGAAAAACTTAAAAAGTAACTCACTTAATAAAGAGTGTTTAGTATTTTTTTTTTAAATAATTGTTATTTTTGTTTTAAATTAAGGATTTAAAGATAATTGATATATTTATTTATATTACCCTTAAAAAAATAGCTAAAAGATAAAATAGATTTTTTTGATAAAATAATTAGTTAAAATAAATAGATAATGATAAAATTAAAATAAAAAAATATTCATTTACTTTAAAAAATAAAAAATAATAATTAATTTAAGACAAACTTAAAATTAAATGACAATTATTTTAAGATAAAAAAAATAAAAATTAAAAAACAATTGTTTAAAAAATAAAATTTTCCCTCATAAATTTAAAATTTTGTTAAAAATATTTTTAAATCAATTTTCAAAGTAGATTTTAAACAAATTTTAAGAAAATTTAAATATATATTTTTCTTCAAACTTACTTGAAAGCCACTTCAAAAACTACTTTTTAAAATTCCCCCCTTAACAAATTTTTTAATTTATGAAAGAAAATTTTACTTTTAAGCAAATTACTTTTTAAACTTTGCTAAATACCATAAAATGAAATTCTTTTTAAAAAAATTTAAAAATTAGCCTTTACAGTGAATTTTAAGTAAATATAGGAAAAACTACATGTATGTAAAAACCACTTTAAAAAATTAATCTTTGAATTTCTCTTTAATAAATTTTTAAATTTTGAATAAAACAATTTACTTTTAAACAAATTACATTTTAAGCTTTGCCTTACACCCTCATTAGCACTTCAGGATTTTAGGACAATACATGACACACAACTCGTTACAATTTCAGTTCTACTTCCAGTACCTAAAGTGAGTTAGAGACATCATTTGTAAATAACCGAATAGGGTTTAAGACTTATTGGCCTAAAAATCAAAAACAGAGTTAAAGACTCGGTTGTTGAAAAGTTGGAGTTGACAAGAGAAAGATTTAGGTTTGGTATGATGGTGTTAATCAATAACTACAACGGTAGGTTTTTTAATCATTTAACATTCTAAAAATAAATAAAATATATTTAATATATTTAACATTTATTATAATTAATATTTTATATATTTGTAAAATAGTAAAAAAACATAAAAACTGAAAGTCAAAAAATTTAGTAGCAATGTCAAACGAAATCATAGTTTGACCAAAAACCAAAAGAAAAAGATTTAGATCATTAAGGCAACTTTCAACGGAATGACTGAAATCCATTTAGCAAGTGTGTAAACTATGGGTCCTGGAAACAGTGCATGGGGAACCACCCTTCTCCTTAATTAATATCTTAAATGACCTACAGAGAACGAAAACGGTGGACTGATGTTTCAAATATCACCGTTGAACCTTGATGTATTTTTTCCTAAAAGGCATGCATCTAGAATCATCTAAATAGATCACCAGTGATATTAGAAACATCACCTAATACTCTAAAAGATCTGATCAACTTGGATTCCTTACGCATGACAAGCTTCGGTCTTCTTAAACCCCTTCTACATAGAACTAGTAATTCAGTTCCTAAAATACCAATACAAAATGAGATTAACAAAAAAAAAAAAAAATGTCTATATTAATATAATAAAATGCAAGAAAAGGTAAAAATAACTAGGCCTTCTTCAACTATTAATTTTCAAAGAAACTGAATTGACCATATCTCCGTTGCATAAAAAGGTCACCTTAAAGGCTTATTAAGCCTAGGGCCACTAAGATCATGAGACTATTAGAGTATAAACATTAGAACCCACTGCATGCCTGACATCCTTATGGCACATACGAAGCAAGCCAAGAATATCATGCCTGACATGCCTAACATTTGACTGGCAAGAACGTACATCAAGTTTGAAATTTTGAAATATTTGCATGCACTGACACAATCACACAACTATCATAAAGAATTGAATTAAGTGATTGATATGCCCTAAATGAGTCACAGTAAGATCTTCGCACAGGTTGTTTAGGTATTGCAAATAATCAATAACTTTAAGACACAAAGGAATATCCTTATAGAGAGTAAACCACTGTGAATACATACATGATGAAGCCATCTGCAGATACTTTACAGCACAAAATCAGGACCATGAGTCTGAGAATTATAGCACCACTAGAAAACAAAGTCCCTGGAACAACTTTCAAGCTGCCAACCATAGAGGTCAAACCAAGATAAAGTAAGAAGCAGCTAAGTATAAACACACACAGAGGATCACCTACATACTGATTTCTTCTAAAGAGCCCCAGCAAGAATAAAAATACTTCACCTGAGTTGAGGTTCAAATTGTGGATCTCCACAGCCTGCTCAACCAAGTCATCTAGTTGACAATAAATTCATCTAAAAATTGACCAGAAGGCTCATTTAGTTCATTGACATACTAATGCAAATGACAAGAAAAAATATTTAAATATTTCTCTGAGCAACAATTAAATAATCATTTAACCCTAAGGATCCCATTAATACCTTCCAGCAAATGTTGGGCAAACACAATTTCCCAGGTCAGTAACAAAAGATCAAATCAGATTAAAAGATGCATAAAAGCACAATAGGCAAGCACGAGTAATCAAGGCAACCCCTAGTAATCAAGGCAACCCCTAAACACCCAACAAGAAAATCAAATTCCCCACTGAGGGAAGACAGTTGTTACCAGCAGTGAGGTCTGCATAAAGTTGCACTCAAGAGAAAAGCTCAGGAAATCCTCATTTTATCCATTCCAGCTGCCAGCAGTAAACACAGACTACATTAAACTTCAATATGAAAAATCACCCCAATATGAAACTTCATAACTCCAATATGAAAAGTGACTCCAATATCAAAATTAAATATGTCTGATCAGGACAGTATGCTAAAATGGCAAATCATTGTTCCAGGGACAAGATTTAGCGATTAATGCCCTTCTTTGCTTTGAGCGATTCGAGTGCCTTCTTCCTTAGCTCAATCTCAAGCTTCTTCTGGTCAGAGACTGTCTCTTCATCATCACTTGAATGGGGCTCCCTCTTTGAGACATGCCCACCATCTGAAGCATTAGAGTCATCTTGGTTCTTCAATTTCAGCTTCTCTGCACGTCTTTCTTCTCTTTTACGATGCCTCTCCTCACGCCGTCTACGCTTCTCCTCCTTTCGTAATCTTTTCTCTTCTTTCCTCCTCCTTTTAGCCTCCTTCCTGTCTTCTATTTCAGACTCAGAACTATAATCCTCATCAGAAGTTACTTCTTGTCTCTCCGATCTTCTATGCTTTCTCTTTTCCTTGCGTTTAGATCTGTGATTATCTTTTCCTTCAGAATCAGAATTGAAGTGTTGGTTATTATGATCAACTTTTTCAACAAGCGTTGCCACTGTCTCTGTTTTACGGGATTGATAATTGTCCCTCACTTCATTTTGACGAAAGTGGCCCCTTTCATCAGATATTGGTGAACTCTGTTGATCAGGAGTTCCTGGACGAACTTCCCTCCCAAAGGAATTTTCACTGTAAGAAATAATCTAGAATGTTAAGACATCCATATGCAAGTGATGATAAAATAAGAAAAATATAGCTTAGGACACGGTCAAGAGCATACTTCTTATTTTCTGGGGAAAGATTTTTGAGAGGAGAATTCTTCTGCTTACTGACATTAGGTGAATGCAAGGATCTTCTATGTGAAGACCTAGAACTACCATTGTCATCCTCCCTACAAAGATAAAGCCAGAATAACAGAAAAATTAAAATATACTAATTGCAACATTCAACTCAATAAAAACTAAAGAAAATTAAGAATAATAAGGGAAATGTCAACTTTGGAACCTAACCTAGCTTGGTTGTTGTCTTCATTTTCTTTGCTAGTTTCTGGACTGTTCTGATGTGACTTAAATTCCCCTGCTTTTCTTTGAGGACTCCCACTTCCATTATGAGTCACCCGCTCCCTCACTTGCCTCAAAGGACTCTTGTATGGACTGTGATATTCAGAATCACCGAAAAAAAAAAATTAATAAAAGAATTGCACGAGCAATCAGCCTCTACAGATTTTTCAGACTAAGACATCTGACAAAGGTAAGGATTGAAGATGTACCTTCCATAATCATTAGCAGCCCTCTTCCTTGTTTTAGTTGGTGATTCAGAAACACTTGGAGACCTTTCTGGTGATGAAGGCAAAACTGAAACTTTATTCTGTAATTCTTTCTGATTCCTTGGATCTCGCTGCAGTGACCTCATGCTAGAAGACTGACGTTTCACTGGAGACAATCTTTCCTGCAGTCTGCAAAACATATTATGTGTTAAACCATTTGGGAAAGCAGATTTAATATGTTCAGATAAACAAGGGTTCAAAGGATAAAGATATCAAAATACCTATCCCCTTCATGCGGAGATTCTAAAGGTGATCTCCTATGTTCCTTTGAAGATTTCCTCCTAATTGGTGGAGGGGAGCCACGTCGAGCAGAAGATGGAGAACTTGATCCATAAGGTGAAGCCAATCTACCTCGGGAAGGGGTAGATGATCTCCTTCGGCTGGAAGGAGGTGGTCTACGTTGCATAGGAGACGGTGACCTGCGACGTGGAGTTGGAGACCTCTGACGCCGTCGACGCAAGGGAGAGGGTGATCTTCGTCGAAAGGGAGATGGTGATCTTCGTCGAAAGGGAAGGGGTGATCTACGTCGCACTGGTGATGGAGATCTGCGGCGCACAGGTGATCGAGACCTGCCACGTCTAGTAGGTGATGGAGACCTGCGACGCCGAGCAGGGGATGAGCGTCGGCCAGGAGATGGGGATCTACGGCGTGGAGAAGGGGATCTACGCCACACAGGCGAAGGGGATCTGCGCCGGTATGGAGATCGCAACCTACGTCGTACAGGAGATCGTGATCTGCGAGGTGATCGTGATCTAGACCTTCGCCTATAAGATTTCCATCTGGGAGGGGAGAGAGAAACACGAGGTGAATGCCTAGGCTGAGGTGTCAATGATCTTCTTCTTGGAGAACGTTTCATCCTATCTGAAGATATGGATCGATGTTGTGGTTCGGGTGATCTAGAGACACTTCTTGACCTGTGTCTATTGGTAAATGTAAAAGCTCAGTTAACTTCCACATTTTAGTATCACTTCCAGACCATCAAAAATACAAAAATTAAACATGTAATCTGCAATAAAAAACCATTTAGTGAAACTTCTTTAATGAACTGAATTTAAATTTACCATTAGCTAGAAAGAAAAAGAACATACTTTGGATAACTTCTAGAATTAGAAAGGGACCTGCTAACTGATCTGGATCTCGATCTTCTGAATAAGAAACCGCAGACATTTTCAGAAAGAACTTTTTTCAAATGCAACTTGACTAATATAATTAGACCATAATAGCCACAATACTTACTGAGGGGATGACAGAGAACGATCAGCTGAATGAGGAGATCCAGAAGCCCTGTAAAAGATGATTATAAACATTCCAAAAGAACCCTTATCATTAAAAATTATCATTGAAGAGCATTGCTTAAAAAAATTGCTATGCATACATCAACATCAATGTTTCAACCACAAATTATCAAAGTAACTAATAGTGCTATCTGATTGCATGGAAAGGGAACTGGCCTTTCTCAAGAAATTTCATCAGCAAATATGCACAGTTTTCTAAATATATTTAATTAGGTCTCCTGACTTGACTAATTTGATATGGTCATTCTTCACTTTGCCACACATGGTTAACCATAAGACATAAATTACACCAAATAGAAACCTGTATCATATCAAAAGAAGCTAAAGTCCTTACCTCTTTCTTCTTCTCACACCATTCCTTCGTCCAGCATCTCTCTCATCATCAGGATTTTCACTTGGAACCCTTGATAGCTGCCTCAAGGATGGCTCCAATTCAGCTTCAGCAGGCTTCATTTCAACATCGCCGTCCTACAGTAGTTTGAGTAAAGGATATGAACCGAAAAAATTCCAGAAGGTAGCTGAATACCATAAGAAACACAAAAGGAAAGTTAAAACCAAAACTGAACTTTATATATTACAACTCCAGCATGAAAAAGTTAGTATTACCATCTTCCGTCTCTCTTGGTCACGTTCTCTACTTTCCTTATCTTTCTTCTTCTGAATTTCACTTGCTATCCGATCTACATCTGCCTGCAATCACCAACGTGATAACATTGTCACAAGAGTGGATGCAAGTTCTGACTAAAATGCACTGTGATATTAAAACTAATTTTGACCTTTTTCTTCCTGGTTTCCTCTTCTTTGGCATCCAAGAACTGTTGAGGAACACCACTTGCATTGTTCTGCGCACTCAGGAGAAGGGACCAAAGCTCCTTCATGAACTTTCCAGTATTTTTCTCCATGAATCCAGTCAGTGATATTTGGATTTGCTTGCCATTTACTTCCTGCATCAGAGCATTATCATAATCATTGAAAACTTTAAATAAAAAATCTATAAACACTAAATTCGCATACCAACACTATCACATACCAACAAATTATGAAAAAATGGTTAAATAGATTGGCAAATTAGAACAAGAAAGCTAAAAGCCACAGTAAATTTCGAATTCTAAACTACAAGTAGAGAAGAAATTATATTACCTTTCCATCAAGAAGACCATAAATGAAGTTGATAAGAACTTCATCTTCGAAACCAAGAAGCTCGGTCACCCTAGTAGCAATCCATGGTCTAATCACATCCATCTTCACTTTCGAGATGTCCACCTAGAAACACATGATTTGTATAAAATTAAATTAACATAGAAATGAAACCAAAAATCACCCGCAAAAACATAAAAATTGCAGAATCGAACCAGATGTTCCAATTCAGGAGCGAATTTCTGCGATTTCAACAGCTTCGCTTGCTTATTTGAAAACCGAGTGTCCTGCTCGGCAGAAGTGCCCTAGATTGAGGCAAAAAACGAAAATCGATCACATCATAGACAACATAATACAGATGCATAGAAATTAGCTGCAAGATCTTTACGGAAAATATCGAAACGAGATTGGATCTGAAGGAAGATAATACATACAGAATTGAAAGAACGAGATATCGGAAAACTCACCCGGAAAAACCCGCCGGACATTTTCTAGGGTTTGTGGAGGCAAAAGTGAGATTGTGAGCTGAGATTATATTTGCGATGGGAGTGTGTGAGAGAACAGCGCTTGAGGTTTACGCCATGGTTTCGTGCTCTCAGCAGAAGTTCTATCCCTCGAGCGTGCGGTCGCCTCTCGCCTCTCACGCTGCCTGATGGCCTCTTTAAAGGATAGTTGGACTTGTGCCCTAAACGGGATCGATTGGGAACGTTGGATTGATAATATATTTGGTTAAAGTACCATTTTGGTCCCTCAGCTTTTCACTTTGGTACTAAAATTGTCCTTTAACTTTAAAAAATACCAAATTTATCTTTAAACTTTCATTTTCGATACCAAAATGATCCTTCCGTAAGTTAAATGACAAGTGGCACGTTAAAATGCCACAAAATCATATTCTTAAAAAAATAATAATTACGTGGAAAACATATCATGCTAAAAGTGATGAGATGGTATTTTTTTTTTCCATGTGTTATTTTTTTATTTAAATAAAAATGAATTTATAAATTAAATGAATTTAAAAATAATTAAGTTAATTAACTTTCATTTCATCATCTTCTTCTTTCTCCTCGTCCATAGCCTTATCCTCGGCATTATCATCTCACTGTTTATCTTCTTCACCATTCTTTTCACCATCCTTCTCATCATCGTCACCATCCTCTTCCTCTTCATCATCTTGGTTTGTCATGGAACCCGATGTTGGGTTTTCCTCTTGTTCATCTTGGTTCTTTGTGGAACCCAGAGAACCCAACCCGGTGCTAGGTTTCTTAAGGAACCCAACTCCTTGAGGAACTCGGTTTTGGGTTCCTCGGTTCCCTGAAGAACCTAGGTTCTGGGTTCCTCGACAAATCCAAAACCAACCCAGTTTTTAGGTTCCCAACCCAAAACCTGGGTTCTTCAAGGAACCCAGATCTGGGTTTCGTCTAGGTTCCTCGAAGAACCTAGGTTCTGGGTTTTGCAAGGAACCCTTGACGAACCTAGAACCTAGGTTATGCGAGGTTCCTTGAAGAACCCAGTTTCTGGGTTCCTCACAGAACAAACCCTAGCATTTCTTCCAATAATTTCACAATTTCACTTCATTTCCATAGCTCTGAGCATGAAATTCATATTCTTGGTGATTGGTTTGACCAATTTTGAAGTTTGGGATGGTAAAGCTAGTTTTTCTTTGCTCTGTTTCTTTAGCTTCTTGCTTTGTTTGGTTGCTAAGAAAATATTTCTGATCCCTTTTTTTTTTTCTTTCTGTAGAAAAGTTATTTCATTTTGCACTATGTGAAAACTTAGAATGAGTTTGAGTTTTTCATTTCCTTTTTCTTTCATTTTTCATTGAATTTCATTCGTATCTTCCAAATTTTGGAAGTCAGTATTGAGTTTGTGTTTATTTTCATTTGGCCTTCGAGAACTCAACTGAAACTGGAAAAGGAAAACAATTTTTCATGTGAGCCCCACAAAAAGTGAATCTAAAAAGGGAGGGCAATTTGATGTGGAAAAAACATGCCACAGTAGCAAATGTTTCTTTGTTGGACTTACACGTCATTAAAATTCAAAAAAAGCAGTGATTTTGTGGCATTTTAACATACCACCTGTTCACTTAACTGACAGAAGACCATTTTGGTATTGAAAATGAAAGTTCAAGGATAATTTTGGTATTTTTTAAAGTTGAGGGATAATTTTGGTATCAAAGTGAAAAGTTAAGGGACCAAAATGGTACTTTAACCTTGATATTTTGGATTGTCGGAATTACTTATTTACCCTTTTTGTTTAGTGGCCCCTGCAACATATTGATAAAAAAAAAGAAAGAGAAATAAAAACGCATTTGCTCCATCCAAATAAATCACTCAATGATTTTTTTTTTTAATATAATAGAAGTATTAAGTTGTGGAGTACAGAGATACATTACCTCTTACTTGCCTAACTTAAAATTAAAGATATATATATATATTTAAGTTTTATTTGTCTGTAATATATTATGTTGTATTATAATTATAAGTATTTTTACCAATAATATGTTGTTGATCTAAGTAAAAG